GACTAGATGACCTCCTGAGGTCCCTTCGACTCTAATTTTATGATTCTGTTATTCTGTGATCTTCAGATGTTAAACCAGTTGTAAACTTAGTTTTTATCCAAATATAAAAGCTATCCAGTTATAAAAGTTTCCATTCTACCTGTATGGAATCAAGATTAATATTGAATCAAAATACCCACAACTAGCAAATGTTTAATGTTCAGTAATACTGTTGTGATTAAAAAAAACCCTAATATTTTATACATACTGAAAATGTCTTGTTTCAAAGCATATTTTCAGATCCTTGCATTGAGAAAAAAATCTACTTTTTAACAGGTGCATTTATATGTATGTACACAGGGGTTTTTTCCTTGATGGTTTAAGTTTTATAACTCAGGAATTTAACGTGGAACCTTACTTATTGTGGTCTTGTTGGCTTGGAAAAGCAGTAAGGTAAGGTCTGTAGTGCTGGATTCATTCTTTTGTTGTCATGTATTTTTTCTCTGGGAGGATGAGCAAACAACACTCATTATAGTTAACATGAATATCAAAGGCAGAATCAACTATGTGCTTGCTTTAAGGTGCTGTTAAAGAAAATGACCCCTAATTTTTCACTGTGAGAGTAGTTGGATGGTTACTGGCATAGAAACAGTGTAACCTAAAAGGTTAATCAGAAGTAGTTCAGTCCTAGTTAATGTACTTGCTCTGTTGTAACTGAAAACAAAATCATCCAACATTGTGACTTCACTGTAGTTGTGGTTGTGATTGCCATGTTTGTTGGGCGAGTCTGCCTCACTTCCTGGCATGGTAAGTAGCCCTGCCCATTTACAGGTAGCAATTTTTAAGAGTGGCAGTGGGCGTGCTGTAGTCAGCACACACAAGCCTGAAATCAAGGCTAGGCATGACTTGGACACATGCCAAACTATTATGTTACATGTTTCTGGCATTTGTGGGGTACAGACCTGGAGTGAGTAGGCAGAGTGTTTTCATAGCAGCACTGTGGAGCATGGTTGGAAGCAGTGTAGGCAAGCCCCACATGTAACCTGAACCAGCTTTAATTGAGCATCTGTTGTTATGAGGAAAGCCATGGCTGCATAGATTTCAGTGGGAGCTGTACAAGCTTGAAGCGTCTTGTGTAGAAACTCAGAGGCAGAAGCCAGTCAGTGCCCTTGGCACTCAAGCTGGTTTGGGTATGTCTTCATGTGCTGCAGGGACACTTTACAACTACTGTATTGACTTAGCCCAAATAGGATTTTGATGATGTCTTCTATTTCCTACGCAAATGAAAGAGCTCTTGAGGGAGCAGTTCCTTGTCTGTGTACTTCAACATTGTTTTTTTTTCATTATTGTTGTTTTATAAATTAGGGTGATTGTGTGAGTTTCTGCATAGAAAAGAGAAGGGAAATCAGAATTGCATGGAAACATGTTGAGATAACTATTCTGTTTAGGAGCCTAAATCAGTAGTCTACTTTTTATTTTTTACTAAGCATCCATAAATACAGGATCAGCATCATAGTCCCATTCACTTTCTGTATTTCTGTAGTTCCAGCTTCAATTAGAAGGATTTTTCAGTTGTTAACTCATCACTTCTTTTAGTTAAACCTCTTTTACAGCTTTGCATTACTTAATACCACTGCTGTGGCCTACCAGATGCTATAATTTCACAAAATCAACTTATGTCTGAAAGAATTTCAAGAGGATGAGTTCAAATATTGTTCTTCTTGAAAGAGAGCCTCTGAAAGGTCACTTTAGAAGCTCCTTCAGTCACAGATATTGCAGCATTCCTAGTCAGCCTTAGGTTAGAGATGCCACATGAGCTATACAGTAGCCAGATAACTGTACTTCAGATCTTTTTGAAATGTCATTGTGCTCTTGTGGGTTATATGTAGTTCATTTTTGTAATATCGAAAGCTATATTTCTAAATTGAATGACTCTGGTAACACACATTTGCTACTTCATATTATCTTGTTAGGTTATAGGATTTCTCAGGTTTTCCCTTTCTGCAGACCCCCTTTGGCTAAGAAACATTCTGTTGCTTTGATTTTTCTCCCTGTCGCTCTGGTGTTACCAACAGGAAATGCTGGGGGCAGAGAGGGCAGATTCTACTTATAGTACCCTGCATCCATCGAATTAAAACATTGGATCAAAAAGATAAGGAACCAGGGAAAGCAGCAGTCCCCTTGTCATTCAGAATGGTGCTACAGTAGAAGGAAGAATATATTCCCTCTGAGCCAGGGTAGATAAAATAAATCTATATTGTAGTATTAAAAAATACATTTTTTCTTTTGAAATTAAAAAAATATATTAAACTTATCTTAAAGTCTGAGCATATGAATCTGTTAAAGTAATTTTAAATGTAAATAAAATTGTAATATTCAAGAAATGCATGTTGCTATTAATGTTTTAAAGAAAATACGAGTAAGTATATGTCTGGCTATTTTTTGGGTGGGTAGGTGGGTGTTATTTTGGTTTTTGTTTCAAAAAACTGAGCCAGCTTTTTGGCAACCTTATGCACAGGTTCAAAGAGAATACTTTTTTCATTTGAGTTTATTCAACTAGTTTTGTTCAATAACCAGCTTATTCAAAATTGAGTAATCAAGGAGACCTTGAAGATGCATAAAAGCTTGTTTTCCTTTTCTAATCTACCATTAGAAAAAATGAGAGAGAGAAAATGAAATATGCTATTGAAGGACAAAGTGACCAGGTGCAATCAGTTCAGTTCTTTAATTACAAATAATATTTTGTTTGTTTAATGAATTAGTTTTATATGCAAAATATGTTTTGATAAACTTACTTTCTTATTCTTCATTTGTCACACTGAGGGTAGTTTCTTTTAACAAATAACAATTTAAAAATGTTTGTGCATTTTTCATCAAATTCTAATTTCCATGCAAATGGAGCTTGACAAAAGTTCTGATTCAAAGAAGGTAATCATTGCCTTGTAAATGTATAGTTTACTGTGTTTTAATGTAATCCCTAGTCCATCTGAGCCACAGTAACTGCTGCTATTCTGTTAACATTTGAGGAACCTAAGTATCAAATCATTTTGTTACCTCTAGGTGTTTTGAATGCCTCCAGTTCTCCTTTCCTTCTTGGTCACTGGTTGAAGAAGGGTAGTAGTTTTGACCCATGTTGGACATTTTGGCAGGCTTTTAATCATGGAGTCAAACAGTTCTGTAATAGGTTTCCAAATTATGATCTGCAAACTCTTCTCAGTGATTCCTACAGGATTGGACCAGTTACCAGTGGTTCTCCAGTTTTTGGAAGAGGAAGTGGGAGGAGGGAGTAGGGGCAAAGGCCCCTTTTAAGTTGGTTAAAGTGCTGTGTATCCCTATGATTCTGGATTATGGTTAAAATAATAATAATGCTTTATATCCTTACAACCACACAGTAGTCTTTCCAAATCTTGCTGCTGCTGTTCTTAGTCATCTCCCTCCCCCGTTCTGGCTTTAGCGCATCTTCAGTCCTTCCTCCCACTAAATATGGGAGCATCAGCTGAAGAATTGTTCTCAACATCTCCAAGACCTACCTTTCTCACTTAGGGTTCAGTTGTAGCCAGTGGACGAAGTAGCCCTCCTCTTTCAGGTTGCTATCATGCACTTCCTGAGAATCAGGATTCTTTTCCTGTATACTAGATCCACAGCCAGGTAGTGAAGGTGTTAGGGGAGAGCACTTCAAGAACAATGTAAAACAAAAGCAGCAAAGTAAATTTAAGAACGATTGTTTTTCTACTGCCCAGGAACTTCCTGAGTTTACCAAGTGTCATTATAGTTATAAGCAGCTTTAACCACACTTTAACTGTGTGGGTGGAGGAGAATTGATTTTTTTCTGGTGTGGGGAGGGGGGGCGGAATTGATGCTGATTGTAGAGAGGAAATTAGTTTTGATTTGTTATTGAATGAAAGAAGGTGATTACAATTGTGGTGAAATTTGAAGAATTGAGTTGCAGTGGGGGAGAATGTGTTGTTATGGTAGATATTGATTATGAATGCGATTAGCACTTATTCTCGGGGAGGAGAAGAATATGTTTTGCTTAGAAGGAAAATTGATTGAGAAAGGAGACTAACAGTAAGCCCTGGTGGATAAATGACCTTTTGAGTGGAAAGGGTGAGAGGTAGGGGAACATAATGTGTTGAGAATGATGGAATAAAACATAAGTGAGAGAAGTCAGGCACAGAAGTGTGCCCCCAGTACTACTTAAGAAAAAGTAACTTCATTTAATTGTCTCTGCATCCAAGTAGTTATTATCGCTGGCTCTTCTTATCAATTTAATGAACAGGCACTTGTATACTACTCCTCTTGGAGCTAATATAATTACAAATCCAAGCAATTGGGAAGTGAGGTGTTCTATGCACTGAAAACTGTTGGGAATCTCTCTTCTGTAAAGGCAACGCAGATGGTTGATGATCTGTACTTTTAGATCTTTGATGCAGAGACTGCTTGCTGTGTACTTTGCCACGGCTAGGACAATGGAGCCCTAATTTGATGAGGACTGTAGCCATTCTGGTAATATACCTATTAAATAATTTGTATCTGGTCTTTAGGCTTTTTTCTGAAGGATGTAAAAATAGATCCTGCTCACAGCTACTATGCCTGTCCATTAGCGTGTCCCCCCTGCCATTAAGAGAAATTATTGCTGCTGCTTTGCTATTTACCAGCAAGTTTCCTGTTTTTTTTAGGTGAAACCTTTATATCAGGTAGTTAGTCCCTTTCTTTGTCATCATGTATAGTGGAATTAAATAGAATTTTTAAATGAACCTTGCTCTTTGTTTTGTCCTGTCTCTGTCACATATTGAGAGATATTTACAGAATTAGTTTTGCTTTTTGTTTCTGGGATCTCTTCTTTGGTATTTACAATCCCAATTCTTCTATTTACTTTACTATTTCTTTCTTTTGCTAATTAAAACATTGTAATGCACGAGGTCATTTCAGGGGACCATTAATTCACTGTATTTTAGTATTGGTGACATTGTATGAATGCATTTACCTGAATAGATGCAAAACTCTTCTTTTTGTCTCAGACCAGCACGGCTACTAAATACATCCCTTTCCCTCTGAGTGACATTTCTCTGAGAGTGAGGAATATCAGACCTGGACATGCAACTTCTGTCCTATTTCTTGTCTATTTATAAAGTAAGTGAATGACGACTGCCCAAGTCTTAGTAAAGTATGAGCAAAATAACTGGATGTTGGTATCATCTTATTAGTTTCTTTCCATCTCACTCTCTTATTTTGTGTGTCATGGCCATGTAAAGCAACATTTTTAGCCTCATAGTGGAGCAGCATTTATTGCTTCACAAGTAAACAATAGTTACCATAATAAACCTCAGAACAAATCTATAATATTGATATCGTTCAAATAGCAGTATTACATTACTTAGTTCTCACAGAGTATTCAAAAATGTGAGATCTACAATCGTGTGCTGTTCTTACACAAGAAAGGTAGAAAACTAAATAACTACCTTGATGATCTTGACTGACTCCTGCACCCTATTAAAGCAAATAGGAATAATACAGTGTATATCAAACTGAATCAACAGAGTGTGCATTAATTTGTAAGGGAGGCAAATGAGGCCCACATATAGTTTTGGATAAACCCATTGAATTTTTAGATATGTTTGAAAAATGCCTGCCTGTCTGCTTGCTTTCTTCCTCTCGTCTCACTCCCTTTTTACTCCCCTTATTTATGCTTTTCCACTTTAAGCACTATAAATCGCCTCTTCTTCTACCACACTTTTGATCCCCAATATCCTTCTCAGACCATAGGAACCCTAGTGTCCCTGCCACATTCCTTTGTATTTCAGGGTGGATAAAAATCAACAATTAAAAAAAAAATATTAATAAATCAGATTTTTTATTTAATCTTATTTTTTTTGTTAAGATGCTTTAAAAAAACTTATATAAAGATAGTTTTAATTTAAGATATGATAAAGGTCAAAGATATCATCATGGAACTTCTAATTATATACTATTTGAGACAATATGTTCATGTTATCGTTTTAGAAGTTTTATAAATAGGTCACAACAGGCCATGGAGTATATTAGGGGCTCAATCTTATGGGATTCCCAGAGGCTCCTCTGTAGATTAGTACAGATTAAAGAAAACCATTCTACCCAATGGAACTCAGTGCTCAGTCTAGAAGATCCCATTAAGCATCTCTGTGGTACTTAGTTTCAGTTCTCAAACTGGATTTGTGTCTCCAGAGATCATAGCCAGAAAAGGGTCTTTGGGTAGATGTGATCCTTTTTATTAGACTAACTAAATAGTTGGAAAAAGTGTTCTTTGCAAGCTTTCAAGCACAAACGCCCTTCTTCAGGCATAGGGAGAGTTTGTTGTCTCCAGAGATAACATCTTTGTTGACAGCTGTATATGGAGATAAGAGATAACAGACCTGATTACCCATAAAGGATATCAAACAACAAGAATGCACTTTTTGTAGAAAACAGCGATTAAATCGAGGCTTCCTGACCAGTGATTTAAATAGATTTGACTTAAATCAAATCCATCTTGCTGAAATGTGTGTGCGCGCGCACGCAAACATTTCAGATGTTATAGTCAAAGATCTGTATTTCAGCTGTAAGCAAATTCAAAGTGCATTTCAGAACCTTGCAATTGGCACCATCAGTCTTTGCAAAAAGAAATCCTAAGGACAAATATAGTAGGGCCCACAAACAAGTACAGTAACTCGTTCCTTAATAGAAAGTTAATAATTGCAATAGCATATGTGTGTTCTGTGGAGTTCAGTGCTATTTTTTCTGGTAACTTAGGTTTTGCATTTTTTTCTGGGGGGGTGGTCTGTGTCACATTCATATTACTGAAGATTGGTTTTAATCCCCAAGCCATCAGTCCTGGTGCACTTTAACTTTGTGACATTCTGCATTTTCACAGTTCTATATCAACCCTAATGAAATGTGTAGTCATATTATTATTTGTATTTCTTCACCTAAAAAGATGAGATGTATGTACCCTTCTAATTCAGAACTTGATTGTCCATTTACAAAAATACACTGCTAGTTATCAGCTTCAAAGTCTGCTTATAGCAAACATTGCTTTTGAATTATTAGAATTCAAAGCACAAGAGATATATGTGTTCTAAAAATCCTGTTTTTGAGAGAATGGGACTTCTATTTTCCAAGAG